CTTCTCTGGGCTGCTCGGGCTGCCTCCCAGCCGTGGCACCCTCAATTACTGCTAATTACCAACATCCCGGGGTCTGAGGGTGAGGGGGATTACAGTGTCCAGCCGCCTCTCCGTGCTGGGCCTCCAAGCATCACCCTCCCCGGGAAGGGTCCTCGCCGGCCGGCGATGCGGTCTGTCTCGGAGAGGCCGGGACACCTCCTCAAACTCCTTCTCCGGCCGGTGTGCGCGGGGCTTGGAACACACCTGCGGCCCCGCGGGTGCGCAGGGTGCGCACACGAAAGGCGCCGGCTGTAGTGGCTGCCCATGCGTGTCCCTGCGCGCTCGTACCCACGGGCACGCACCCCTCTGGCCAGGCAGCCCCCACTCAAAAGCATTTTCGTTGCCCCCAGAGCACACACCCTCTTTTTTTAACTCCTTTCTCCCTCATTTTTTTTCTTTTCCATTACGAGCGATTAGATGGTCTCTATTCAAAGCTGCTGATCCAGAGAGAAAGTAGGAGTAGATAAAAGGAGATTTCAAGTGACCTCCTCGTCCCTTTCACACCAACCTGAGCCCCAGAATAGCCAAGGATCAACTCGGACAAAAGCCCTTTCCTTTTCCCTTTCAGCTTCAGAAGATTCAGTGCAAGGGGTTAATAATAAAACGTGTAACTCTAGTCCAGTTTGGTAGAATAAGGCAATTTTGTATACCTTACTAACGACACCGTTGGATATGCCCGGGCTTCACCCTCAGAAAAGTGTAAATTAAATAAATAAATAAATAATAAGAACATAAAGAGAAAGGGGGGGGGGGGAGGAAGGAGTTTTTTTCCTGGTAAAGTACCTAGCAGTCATTTACAGCTTTGTGTTGGGCTGGAACGATTTACTGTGTTTATTCTGTTTCGCTTAAACTTTATCTAAAGTGCATCCCCGTCCTCCCCACGGAGACAGAATACGATGTAATAAACATATCTTGTCCTGATAGTTTAAGCGAAAATGCTAAGGCTTATTGCTCAGATCAACTTCTGATGAGGTAAATGCAATTATATCTCTACTGTTATAGCGCTGGCTCATTTTCCCCAGCAAAAACACATTTGCGCCTTTTTATCTCTGGTGCATTAAATACTTAAACGCCTTGGAGCCTACCCCTAGTCTACGGAAAGTCCAGATCGAGCCTACACCTGACGGGCTAATCCCCGCAGTAAAAGAAATAGGGTCTCTGACAGGTAACTATTAAGGAGACGATTATATACTGCCGTCGATTGCGTTGTCAGGACAATCTCACAACTTTCAAACTCGTTTCCAAACATCAGCTCTTCATCAAAAGCTCCTTTCGGAATCATAAATAGCACCAAATCCAGCCCTGAAAGAAGCCAGGGTTTTAAAATACAGTCAGAGGTGTTTTAGTGCAAAGCCTCCTGTTAATAAAGGCTTTTGTACACTTCTGTTTCTTTTGGCTTCGGTGCTCAGATCACCGTAGCTTTATTTGTGCCCAAAGTAAATATTTCGTCCCGGATTCACCAGTGTGTTGAAAATGATTCCCAGATTTGCCTTAAAAAGGAAGGTTTGATTTGCATCAAGAGGTCATCAATTTCTTTTCCTGCACCTCTACTTGGGAACTGACGTGCTCCTTTATGCTGTTAGACAAGTGGCCTTCGGTTTGGGTGCTTTCTATCCCCTGCTTGTCGGTTGTTTTTTTTTTTGCGGGTTTTTGTTCGGGTTTTCTTTTTCCTGGTGTGGTTTGTTGTTTTTGTGAGGCTTGGTTTTACGGTTGTTTTATTTTGTTTGTTTGTTTTGGATTTTTTTGTTTGTTTCTTTGTTTGTTTTATTTCCAGGTACAGATTTCCCCCCCCCCCCCTTTTTTTTTCTTCTTTTTTTTTTTTTTTTTGTTCTTTAATTAAGAAAGGGAGCCTTTCGGATGCTCACGCGTTTCTGTTTAGATGGCTGGTGAGAGCAAGTTGTGATTCAGCGCAGTGCTTTCGGGTTGGTACCGGAGCCAGATACTTTTGAGCGCTAACAGATTACAAACCCCGTCTCGTTGCGGCCGCTCCGCCGGGAAGGCTCGGGGGACGGCAGCTTGCCTTCCCTAGGGTGTGGCGGGGGGGCCTGGGGGAGCCGCTCTCACGCAGCTCTTTTGCCAATCCCGTCTAAAATAACCCCAGAGAAGCAGGCGGCGTACACGGAGGGGAAGGGCTGTCGCGCCTCTGGCTTAAGCACAGGCGAAGGGCAAGGAACACGGGGGGTAAGAAGGACACGGGCGAACATACGATGACAAGGACGCAGGGATCCTCCTCGGGGGTAGTGAAACCCACTAGGATGCGCAGCAGATCCTCACAATGAGGGGATGTCGGTCAAGACCCCAGGAGGGTGATTCAGAGCGGGGGGAGACTCCGCTTCCACGAGTGGTTTCAAGAAATATATAAATAAATAAGCAGAATGTGACTGTTGAGCTCATTGAGGGGCCGGGGGAGAAAGGACAAGGCCCTTCTTTCACATTGCCATCCTCCTTCAGTGGGATGCAGGAGAATGGCCTGGGCGATGGGCTTGGGCAATATCGACAGGGATACCTGGCGGAGGCGGACATCTGCACCCGGGAGGCTCGGGGAGGGTGGGGGCAACCCCCGACATAGAGCTTTCTTTGTAAAGTGGAGGTTGTCGGCACAAAGCACACCCGGGTGAGCATCCCACAGGGCTGCTCCGGCCAGGTGCTGCGGGCAGTGAGGACCGAGCAGCCCAGAGCCCCCAGGGGGACCAGGCCGCGCCCCCCCCCGGCTGCCTAGGATGATGCAATCCAGTGGAGACCCCCTTCCTTGGGCAGGGGACGAGCGCTTCCCCTTCTTAAAGCACCACTTCCCTCCCGCGCATCTTATATAAGCGCTCCTCAAAGAACTTGGTTGTCCTCCAGTTCTGGCCGGGGGGGAAAGAGGAGGAAGAAAGGAAGAGGGAAAATAAAAGGGGAAAAAAACAATGCCAAAGAAGAAAAAGGACTGGGATGAAAGGCCTTAGCACCGCTGATGGGAAATGAGGCCTGGCCCAGCACTGGCTTCCGAAGCCTAGCCCGGCACAGCCGTCCCTCGCCAGGCTGCGGGGGTCCGGGGGCGTGGGGAGACGGCAGGGCCGGGACACATCATTAATCCTGGGAGTGGTCCCGGTGTGACCTGTCACATCCCTTTTGCAACTGGGGCGGCCCCTTTCCGACCAGAGAGGAGAGGGCGGCATCACAGCGGCCCCACCGCGACTCTCTGTTTTTAGAGTCCTGGATTGAAGGTGTCTGCCGGTAAGAGCAGGGTATGGCTAAAAATGCCAAAAACTGGGAGAGAGAGGGACATTCCTGCATGTCAGGGCTGCTCGCTATGCCCTGCAACAGCAACCTGCTCAGTTACTGTCCCCTCTCCACGCTGCTTCTTGCGTGGATACATATATATATATGTGTGTGTGTATATGTATATACACATATACATATATATACATAAATATACATAGATATACATAGATATACACGTATGTCCATGCTCATGTGCGTGTATTTGTATATATATATATAGAATGCCTTGGGGAGCCTGGCAGGTGGAGCAGGCATCTAATGTTTGCTTTGGAAAACAGGCTATCCATCTCAACTCCCAACTTACATGCAGCCCTGCCGCTTAAAAATAATAACAACAATATAATATACTACTAATGCCATCAATTGGGGTTTACACTGCAGTCTATAAACAGCACCCCTTCCTCCATCTCCGCCAGAAACAACGTGTAGAATTTTCACCACTAATGTGTAGAGGAACGTTTCCCTTCTAGCAGGGACTGCGGAGGAGAGAGGAACCAGCACCATCCCGGGTTCGGTTACACCGGGAAGGAAGAGGAAAGAGAGACACGGAAAGGGGTTAAAGAATTCAAAAGACGGCGGGGGAACTTGGAAAAAAAAATCGCAGACTCTAAATCCTCCCAAAACTCTGCCACCTTCAGACCTGGCCTGGGCAAAGTGGGTTCTGGGGCAACAGAGGGGGAAACAAGTCTGAGCAAGTCCCCATCTCCGTTTCCATTACCCACTCCAGATCCGTAGAGGTTAAAAGGCAATCAAAGCTCATTTCCCCAATTAAACGTGAGTTGTGAACGGTTTTTAAGTGTCCCTGTAATTTGTCGGGAAGGGCACATGCCTCCCTTCGGTTGAACTGTGTTTTAACCTGGGCAGTTGAGGGATAAGTCTGCTTTATTGATGGATGCCCCCCTCCGCCCAGGCTCCTGCGCCACCTCTGGGAGCAGTAAGCAGAATTTTCCCCGGGATTCCTGCAAACTTCATCGGCCCTTCAAGCATCGGCTTGGTGTTTCTTTAAAATACGCACATTTAATAGTACGCAGTACATTAAAACAGCCAAGCCCTAACAGCCAGGAGAGGGGAGAAAATGCCTCCCCTCCGCACACCCCCCGCTGCCGAAACCAGTGCAACTTGTGCGGGTTTGGGTTTCTGCATGGTTGCGGCTCCCTGGGCCCGGCTGTGGGAGCATCTGGTTGCCGCGTTGACAATATCGCCGGGATAAACAGGCTGCCATCGATCTTTTCATTAGGTGATCAAGTCAGGAACGGGGCAGGTGAAGGAGAGGAACACGGCGAGGGATGCTCGCAAGTCCCCACCCTGGCGTCCTGCCGCTCCAAGCTGTGCTCTGCGAGGGCGTGTGGTTGGTGCCCGAGGTCCCGACTGGGTCAGCGCTGAGGAACACGCGTTGTCTGAGCGGAATGCCGGGGGGGGGGGGGGGGGGGGGGGGGGTCGGGAGTGTGTGGAATGTGTGGAAATACTGGAATAGGTTTCTATAGGGCGAGGCTGTAAAGGGGAGAGGTTCTGTTCTAGACAAAATGAGGGCGAAGCGCGTCTCCCTCCGCCCAAATTACGGGATGTCCAAATAACATGAGGTGCCGGGAGGATGCTGGGGGAGGGGGGAGGGAGGTGTTGGGGAAGGTCTCCCCGCAAAGTGCCGCGGTCCTGGTCCCCTCCCTCTGCTCCCAAACCCCGAGGAGGGACGCGGCGACTTGCCTGGGGTGGCCGTGGGGCCGGGGCCGGCTGCGGGGAGCCCGGTCCGAGGGGAGCCCGGTGCGGCGGCTGGGTCCGTCCACCTCCTCGCAGGGTTTCTGTCTCTGTCTGCCTGTGTCTCTGTCTCTGTCTCTCTCTCTCTCTCTCCCCCTCTCTCTCCGTGCCTTGCTCTGCCTCTTTTGCTCTGTTTCTTCACAGTCTGGGGAGTAAAATCTAGATGATATACATACCGAGCTTGCTTTTTTGTCCGATTTAATCTTATTCGTTTCACCTTTTCACTGACCAAGAGACAGGACCGGGAGTTTATTTGGAAAGAGGGGGAGAGAGGAAAGGAGCCTACTGTTGCATAGTCAATAACATCCTTTTTATCAATGCAATATACAATAGGGACGGCTTGGCCAACGGACTCATTGAAAATCTCTTCATTATTTCGGGACAAAATCAAGCGGTTTTTTCTGATCTCAGAAATGATGAAGGATTCTCCTCTCCAGCCGGCTCCCAGCCTCAGATTTCACAGCTGACAGTTAAAGAAGGGGAAAAAATAAAAAAAAAAAAAGTGATCACCATACATGAAGTTGAGAGCTTTTTCTTCTCTTTTCTTTTTTGTTTTTTTTTTTCCTCGTTCTGATGGAAGCAACGTCTCTTTACAAAAAAAAAAAAAAAAAGTAACAATAAAACTTCTGACATATATTTTATCCCTTCCCCCCCCGCAGGTTTTTTTTCTCTCAGCTTCCACTCTGATGATAAATTTTCATTGGGAGCTGAGGGGAGGGTTTCGTGTGGAGTGGGGGGGGGGGGATATTTTATTTTCTTTATAATCTTATAGTTTGTTTCTCCTTTGTCACACAGACCCAACATTTCAGACCTCTGGCCGAAGGGGGCTGCTGCTGGAAGGCAGGCTTGAGAGGAAGGAGGGACAAGGATGGGAATGAAGGGTCTTCTTCGCTCCAGTGAGGGTTATATTAAAAATAAAGAAGGAGAAAGGTTAAAAAATATATATATACATTATTTTTTAAGAGGGCGTGTGTGACAGTCCGCAGACAGGTTTGGCGTCCCCCTCGTTCTCCCCGAACTCCCCTGGGCCGAGGGCTCGGTGCCCACTAGATGGCAGCCGGCGCCAGTGATTCCCTCTCCGCTCCTTTCTGCTCGCGCCGCCGCCGCTGGAGCTGCTGAGGAGAGCGGAGAGGGGGGAGCCCTCGCATCTCCGAGATACGGAGCAACTCGCTTTTGGGGAGACAGGGCAGTGGGGAGGGAGACCTCCGGGTAGGGGGCATTGCACAGAGGGCGGTTTGTGTTCTGATAGCTCACACACATCCCGAAATAATTGAATTAAAGGGGGTGGGGGATCCCACGAGGGAACAGCGGAGCCCCGGGGGGGGGGGGGGGGGGAGAGATCGGGAGGAGGGTGGGCATATCGAGAGAGGGGACAAAAAATAGCCCAAAGTGGAATGGGAGTATGTGGAGATGTGGATATGAGTGTGAGGATGAGTGTGCAAGTGCTCGGGCAAACGCACGCCTGACCCTCCGTGCAGCCAGAGTGTTTTCTATTCCATCATTAAAACCCCTGTCGCGGCTTTGGTGATTGAGAGGTGAGGGAGGAATCGCGATTTCAGATGGGTGGGAGGAGGGAAAGGAAGAGAAATAGAAAAAGGAAATAAAAACAGAGGAAAAAAGAAAAAGGGGGGAAGAATAAAACAAGAGGGGGGGAGCCCACTAACTTTTCCCTGGAAGCCCACATCGTCCCCTTTTAATTCCCCTTTTCCGCCTATCGCAACGCATCCTCCTCTGTCGATGTATGTGCTGATGCGGGGGGGGTGGGTCTTGAAAAGAGAGGGAGGAAGAGACCGTAGACGACCCATACTAATCAGGTCTCAAAGTAAATAGCAGCGCAGGGCGATCGCAATGTAAATTGTGCTTGTCAGAAGAATCCCCTCTCCCTCCCTCCCTCCCTCCCTCCCTCCCTCCCTCCCTCCCTCCCTCCCTCCCTGTTCCCCCCCCCCCCGCTTCCCCTCCCTTCCCCATCCCAGTCAGTAGGTAGCCGGAATTTAAATATATATATATATATATTATATATATAATGTATATAAAAGGGGGGGAGAAAAAGGGGGGCGAGCGCTGGGGGGGGGGGGCAACCAATGGAGCGCGGGAGGCTTGGCTAACCTTAGCCTCCCACTCCCCCCCCCTCCCCAATTCAGGGCTCTGACCAGTCAGTCGCCTTTGATTATCAGTTGCCAGCAGCCCTTCTCTTGGCTCCTTGACACGCGCTCCATATAAGGCAGCGATCTCCATAGAAACGTGTCAGTTTCAATAGTAGTGTCAAAGTTCACTATATACAGACATTTCGAGCAGATCCCCCTTTCGGAAACATTGCTCTGCTAGGCTTTCCGTTTAAACGCATTCATTTTTCGGGTCTCTCTCTCCCTCTCTCTCTCTGTTCCCTCCCCCCCCCCTTGCATATTCTATTAGTTGTGTGCTTTCCCCCCTCTCTCTCTCTTCTCCCCCTTCATCTCCCTCTTCTCCTTCCTTTTCTTCTTTTTTCCACCCTTCCTCCTTGTGTCTTTCGCTTCATTCCTGCAGGAGGAGAGAGAGGTGAAACTAAAAAAAAAAAAAAAAAAAAGGGCGAGAGAAAAAAAATCTCGGAAAGAAGGAAAAAAGGGGATAAAGCAGAGACGGGAAAAGAGGAGGGAAAAAAAAAGTCCGGAAAGGAGAGACAGAACGCACACCGTTATTATTTTGACCATTCTTGCCTATTTTTTTATTTTGGGGGAGGACTTCTCTTGTGGCTGATGAGTTTTTACCCGAAATACTTTCTCCAGGCGAACTAAAAAAAAAAAAAAAAAGAACCTTTTGGGGGGTTGATTTCCACCGATTTTTTTTTTTTTTTTTTCCTCCTTCTTTCTCGCAACCGGCATCGTGCGCTCTCACAGGAGAAGAAGGAAGGGGCAAGAAAGAGGAAAAGAAGAGGATTTATTTACCCGACCTACTTTGGATCTCTCTTTTTCCTGCGCGTGTCATTATTATTCCTGTCCTCTATTTTTATACTTCGCCGGGAATTCGTCTCCTCTGCGAATGTAGTCACATCCGATTATTTTTTTTTTTTTTTGAGAATTTTTTCCTTTTTTTTTTTAAAAAAAAAAAAGGCGAGAGGGAGCTCGAGCGAGCGAGAGAGAGACAGAGAGCGAGAGAGAGCAGCTCGGGAGAGAAAGAGCAGCGACCGGCAACCTCCTCCTCCTCCGCCACCGCCGCCGCCGCCGCGACAGGAGATCAAACTGCTTCAGCTCCCCGCCCGCCTCCACCGCGCTCCCCGGCCCCGCCGCCCTGCATGGCTGACTGCTCCCTGCCCTGGACCTGGCCCCCGGACACCTCTATGCCCTGATTGCCGGCAGACGGCTCCTCTCAGCACCCCCCGCCTCCCCGATCACCGGCAGCGGGAACAGCCTCCGCGGGAGCGGCGGCGGCGGCCGGGCCCCGGCAGCGGCGAGCGGCGAACGGCGACCTCCTCCTCCTCCACCTCCTCCTCCTCCTCCCTCTTCCTTCCCCTCCTCCTCCTCCTCCTCCTCCTCCTCCTCCTCCTCGGCGGCGCCGTGGCTTCCTCTATGCCCGCACATCCTCCGCGCTCGTAGCGCCCGGACCGCGTGTGTGCCCGTGTGCGTGTGCTCGAGTGGGGGAGCCCGCCGTGTGCCGGGCGTGTGCGCGCCTGTCTGCCTGCGTGTGCGTGTCCGGCGTGCTACTCCTCTGAATGCCTCTCCCGACAGCCTTGTTTGCCGTTTCTGATTTTGCAACTTGAAGTGGCGGCCGGTGTGGTTGGGGTCTGGGGGGGGGGTGGGAGGGGGTAGAGAGAGAGGGCGCGGAGAGGCGGCGAGAGCCGCGGAGAGCGGGAGCTGAGCGGGGAAGCGGCCAGGCGGGGGTATTTTAAAGAAGAGGGGAGGGGGGGTGAAAAGCGCAGGAAAGGGCAGGGAAGGAAAGGGAAGGGAGGAAGAGGAAAGGAAGAGTGTGGTTTAAAAAAAAAAAAAAAAAGAGGGAGAGAGAGAGAGGAAGGAAGGGAGAGAGGGAGAGAATCCTCTGTTGCCCCCTCCCCCTCCCTAAAAAAAGAAGAAAAAAAATTAGCGAGAGCGAGGGGAGGGGGGCTCCCGGCGAAAAATAAATAAAATAAAGAAAACGGCAGGAGCAGCTCCAGGCGGCAGCGGCAGCAGGGCAGCGACGGCGGCAGCCGAGGCGGAGGCAGGCGGCAGGCAGGGTCCCCTCGCTCCCCGCTCGCCCCCGGCGCCCGGTCTGCCGCCCCCCGCCCGCCCCCTGCCTCCCTCCCCGGCAGCCCGCAGCGAGACGCGCCGCTCCCCAGCACTTTTTTGGGCCCGAGATATGGCAATGGTAGTTAGCAGCTGGCGAGATCCGCAGGAAGACGTGGCCGGGGGCACCCCGAGCGGCCCCAACCCCGCCGCGGCGCAGCCTGCCCGGGAGCAGCCGCCCCAGCAGCAGCAAGGCGGGGGCTCGGCAGCCCCGCACACCCCGCAGACCCCCAGCCAGCCGGGACCCCCCTCCACACCGGGCACGGCAGGGGACAAGGGAGCGGGCCAGCAGGGCTCGGGGCAGAGCCAGCAGCACATCGAGTGCGTGGTGTGCGGGGACAAGTCCAGCGGCAAGCACTACGGCCAGTTCACCTGCGAAGGATGCAAAAGTTTCTTCAAGAGGAGCGTCCGCAGGAACTTAACTTACACATGCCGCGCCAACAGGAACTGTCCCATCGACCAGCACCACCGCAACCAGTGCCAGTACTGCCGCCTCAAGAAGTGCCTCAAAGTGGGCATGAGGCGGGAAGGTGAATATTTCTTCCCTACTATGCTCTATCTCGCTCTTTCTCCCTTCCTTCCTCCCTTCCTCACCCCCCCTCAACTGCCCTCCCCTCCACCCGCGGCTGGGCAAGGCGTGCGTGTGCGAGGGGCTCTCTTCGTCTGTGTGTCTGCCTATGCATAAGCGTGCACCGGTATGCATAGGCAGCACATATATGTATTTATACACATACATATATATATGTGTATATACATATATATGTATACACGCGCGAGCACACGCGCGGCTTGCACACACATACATATATATATAAGCACATATATATATATATATTTACGTCTCTCCCTGGCGATCTAGGTCTGTCCCTCTCGCTCCCTCTTCCCATGCACATGTCAATCTCTCCCTGTGCCTGCGCTCCATCTGGCAGCTTTACGCCAGGTTTTGTTATTGTCGATGGTGGTTGGTGGTGTTTTCTTTTGCTTTTCGGTTTGTGCCTCCTGCCCTCCTCCCGCTCCTCCCCCCCCCTTCCCCGGCACCACCGTGCTCGCCCCTTCCCCTCTCATTGTGCCGAGAATTTACTATTATTGCTATTATTGTTTATTAATTATTACTATTAGTATTAAGGCCGCTCGCTAAATATTTATCATTCAAGCTGCTATCTCCGCTCCCGAGTATGTGTGTGTGTGTGTGCGTGTGCGTGTGTTTGGATGTGGTTTTGTCTATTGTTGGCAAGAGACCGGGGGGTGGGGGGAGATACATCTCTCTCCCGTACGAGATGTGCTTCCATTCAGCTTCCTTTCCCCCACAACCACCCCCTTCCGCCCCATCATTTCTTTTTAAACCCGCAACACTTCTCGGTACGATCCATTTTCCCAGCCTCTTTTTTTTTTTTCTTTTTTTTTCCCCCGAAAGAAAGATGAAAGACGTGTAAGTAGGGAAGAAAAGAGGAAAGGTGGTGAAAAAGAGGAAAGGGGGGGTGGAAAGGGGGAAATGTGCTACTGTATCTCCGCTTCCTTGTGCTTCCCAGTGCCCTGGAGTGTGTTTCTGTGCGAGATTTGGCCTTGTTTTCACTCCATGCGTTCAAAGGAAAGTTTGTGGCTGAACTGGGTTTCTGTACTTCTGTCATTTCTTTTTTCTTTTTTTTCTTTCTCTTCTTCCTTTTTAGCAAGCTGCTCATTTTATTTCTTCATCAAACTCCACCCTCTCTTTAAAGCCTGCATACAAATCGCGATTTATAACCTGTTTGCCGGTTCTTCTCATTTTAGCAGAATCCGCAGCCTGCATCTGGCAGCGGGTTCCTCACCACTTCCAACTGCTCTGCTATTTATTTATTTTATTAATTCTTTTTTTTTTTTTTTTTTTCCCTCCTCCTCCTTTCCAAGAGCCGCTGTGATTTTCCTCGCTTTCAGGCTCATTCTCGCGTAGGAAGGTTTCCTGCCTTCCTTTTTCTCCTCGAAACGTATTTTCTCGGTTTGCATTTAAAGTTTACCCTGTGACCGTCGTTAAAGATGTCTTAGAGTCACACCAGCGAAACAGTCGATTTTACAGAGCGGAGATTACTACTGCCTTAATTGGTTTTAAAATATATGTATTTTGTATGCCACAAGGAAAGGAATGGAGCAGCTCCAGATCTGAAAGAGCTCGCAAATATGACGACTTCATTGGCAGCTTCAGGGGCTGTTGGTAGGCGTCTTGAGGGGGGAGGGAAAAAAAAAAAACTGGGGGGGGGGGGAAGGAAGGAGTAGGAAAAAAAACAATCGAAAAAAGGCAAGTTAGAATTGTGCTCGCAGCTAATTGACAAATAACTGCCAAGTTTACAAGGAGGTGGGAGAGGTGGGCTGGAGAGAGGTCCGGCCCGGGAGGCGAGAGGAGGAGGGGTGCTGGGTGGAGGAAGAAAGGAGAAAGTTGGGAAAATGCTGTGGTACGCCGGAAAGATGAGTGATGTGCGTGCGTGTGTGTATGTGTGCGTGTGTGTGCGGGTGTGGGGGAACGAGCCCGAGCAGTCGTGTCTCCTCCTGAAGTTACCTTTGTTTACATGTCGTGCGGTTGCATAGGCTGGCACTGATAGAGAAAAACACACGCACACACTGGGAGAAAAAAAAACAAAAACAAAAACAAAAACAAACCAACTTTGGTCAGCTTTCGGGACCTGAGACATGCTTGCGCTCTGTGTGGAGATGGTTAATGAATCCAGTGTTTCTGCAGTTGCAAGCTTGTGCATTCACTGTGCAACGCTGACTGCAGGCTTTTGCAGTGGCAACAGCGCACCAAAGATATTAATTACACCGTCCCCTTTTTTTTCCACGAATGTTTGGCTATTGTAAGTTCGGACCTTTTTGTTTTATTTCCCCCTTTCCCTTGATAATACTTAATCTCTCTCTTCCTTTTAGCAGGGAGAACTTTGCTGGGCGAGGGAGGGGTGGGGGAGTCTTCTATGGAAAGATGTTTCTGTCTAATAAAGTTAGCAATGGGGAGGTGGGGGCTGCGACCTGTTCCAGCTTAAATGGTAACGAAGCAGTATTTTTAAAGAATATGGATATGGATGCATTTGGTTTGGTTTGTTTTTTTTTTGGTGTTTTTTTTTTAATTAGTTTTATTTTTATATATGAATTGGTTTGGGTTGATGGTTTTTTTGGTTTTTTTTTGGGTTGGTGTTGTTTTTTTTTTCCATTTTAAAAAGCTACACAGATCACTTGTGCTCAGTGCTACCGGGGCAATCGGCTGGGATCCACAGCAGAGCCTGGCTGTATTTTTAACAGCTGGCTGTGATTTTTAATCTCACTTTCTCACTACCCAGAGGAATGATTTTTTCATTTTATTTCATTTATCTATTTATTCTCTTTTTTCTTTAAGTTTTTCTTTCCTTTTTACGTGCGTCGGCTGCCTTTTGTTGCAAGAGGGTTGGGGGGCTCTGGAGGGAGGGGTGTTGTGTGCAGATTTGTCTTGTTTGCCTTGGCTTTTCTTTTTTTTTTCCTTTTAATTTTTGGGGGGGTCTTTTCTTTCTTTTTAATCTGTGTTTATTTTGTGAAGCTTGTCTACGCTGGGGAGGGGGGGCTGGTGCTTGGCTGCCGCTGGGCTGGGGCTGCCTGAGCAGGGGTCGGGGCTGGGGCCGATGCCGGGTCGTGTTGTGGGGCTGATGTAGGTCGGCTGCAGCTGCCCGGCTCCGCATGCTTCTGTCTGTCCGTGCCTGTGCGTGTGTCGGGGGTGAGGAAAGGGGGAAAGTACGTGTGTGTACGGGGTGGGTAGAAGCCAGGCATTGTCTCCGGCTGGCTGACAGAACCGCCGGGCAATGCCTGCGATCCTCCTGGATGTACATTTCCTCTCCTTCTCTCCTTCTTTTTGTCAGCGGTTCAGCGAGGAAGGATGCCACCCACCCAGCCCAACCCCGGCCAGTACGCCCTGACCAACGGCGACCCCCTGAACGGGCACTGCTATCTCTCGGGATACATCTCCCTGCTGCTGCGGGCCGAGCCCTATCCCACTTCCCGCTACGGCAGCCAGTGCATGCAACCCAACAACATCATGGGCATCGAGAACATCTGCGAGCTGGCCGCCCGCCTGCTCTTCAGCGCCGTCGAGTGGGCCCGCAACATCCCCTTCTTCCCCGACCTACAGATCACCGACCAGGTAGCTCTGCTGCGGCTCACCTGGAGCGAGCTCTTCGTCCTCAACGCTGCCCAGTGCTCCATGCCCCTCCATGTGGCCCCGCTCCTGGCGGCTGCCGGCCTCCACGCATCCCCTATGTCGGCGGACCGCGTCGTCGCCTTCATGGACCACATCCGCATCTTCCAGGAGCAGGTGGAGAAGCTGAAGGCACTCCACGTCGACTCGGCCGAGTACAGCTGCCTGAAAGCCATCGTCCTCTTCACCTCAGGTGAGAGGGCTGGCGGGGGGGGGCACGCGTGTGTGTGTGAAAAGAAAAAAAAAAAAAAGGATTTTTTTTTTTTTTTATTACATTTGTAATTTTGTAAAGAAAAGAGCTTCAAATGCATACGCCCCGGCCCAAGGATCGACCTTCCCCTCAGGCCCACTAGTCATAATAAATATATGTATATATCAAGTATATATATATATATAATTTATATATATATATATCAAATTAAGTGGAAGCGGTGGAAACATGCATGTTAACAATTTTCCCTCTGTGATAGATGGTTCGAATTAACTAGCGGGGAAGTACATTAGCGTCGCCTTTGAAGTGTTCTGGTCGTAGCCCATAAGAATATAATAAGTCTTCTATTATTGTAACCTGCGAGGGAGAAATTTATAAACATCAAAGGCGAGAGATGAGGAGGAAATATAAGGAATGGAAACAAGGCGAGATAAGAGGCCTGACTGTCATTTTTTAATTATTATTCTAATTATTGCCACGATGGGGTTAATTGCCGCTTTTTCTGCTTGCTTATTTTTCTTTATTTTTTTCCCCTTTAAATCTTCTTCTTTTTTTTTTTTTTAAACCCACCACCCTTTCCACTTCCTCTTCTCTTGTCCTGGTTTCTTCCCCCTTTCCAAACCACTCCTCTCAGTTAGCGATAACTGCGCATCTCTGACAAATCTGTCTTAAAACTAGGCCGAGGCTAAATTAAAAGCATTCCTGAACAAAGATGGCAAATCGTTCAAAGGCCTTGTTTAACAGTAAGCAGTTTATAATTCATCAATATTTGTTGCCTTTCATGCATGAGAAATAGTATTTACGTTGTATTAAAATGACTTCTAAATTTGCACAATATTGTAATGTAGCAAATGTAGTATTAATATCGATTTGAACATCAGATAATTTATTTAGACAGGAGTATCTAATTTGTATGCAGGGTGGTCGGAGACGTGTACTGCGACTGCCCCCTTTTACTTCCAGTGCAAGTGCAGTCTCACAGCATTGGAGGGAATATTTCTTTGCGCAGGATAAAGTGCAGATCTTAAAACAAATGTAAGGTTTAGTGAACGGCCAGCTCGACATTTTAATGTATTTTATCTTTATAAGTCTTCCTGATGGAAACATGTTTTTCGAAAGTGACAAAGAGACCTGCTGGCACTTATCAGGCTGATTTAACTTCTTCAGCCTGCCTGCAGACTCTCAGATTTTCCCTTTCCATTGATTTCAGGGTTCCCATCAATACACAGAGGAGGTAGGGGAGAACCCTCCTGGTTTTATTATTACTAGTATTTATTTTTCCTTTTGCCCAGATGCAACTTGGAGACATCCTTCTCAAGCAGAGGGGACCTGGCCTGTGCCTTGGCCCTTACACCCACCAAAGGCCCAGAGAAGGGGATTGCCCCAGATGGGGACATTTTGGTGGAGATACTGTTTTTTTTTGTTTTCTCTCCTTCTCTCCTCCCCTTTTCCCCCACTCCAGTGTTCCCCCTTTACCTTCCCCAAATGATCGGCCTTATCTAGAAACCCTGGCTTTAGCGAATCCCTTCATTTATACATGTTAATAATGAATGTCATAACTAAATGTTTGCAACAGGAGAAGCCCCCTCCGAAGGCCGAGCAGAGTGTGAATGGTGTTCAAGGAAAGGAACAATAATATTATTTTGGAGGAGGATGGCACGGGGCATCTCAGAAAATGGAAATACAGCTGTCAGGAATAATCTACCTGTTACCCCCACCTTCACATTTCCACTTTTCACTAAACTTGTTTTGATTGCTTAGCCAGAGGGGGATTCATGGGAAGCCTTTCTCGAAGTCATTCAACTTTTAAACAAACTTTCACTGATGGAAAAGACGTTTTTAGGCATATTGTCCAAAGTCCTTCTCTGACAACTAAGTATTTAGAGCTGGCATGGGTTTCTCCTGTTGTGGTTTTAACATTTGGGCTCTGGATAACATGTATTTAATCCGTACAATTTTGGACACCATCCAATGGCTGAGTCATGACCTAAAACCTGCTCCTTTCTTGACTCTTTTTTTTTTTTTCTTTTTTTCCTCTTCATTTTTTATTTTTTTTTTCTCCCTCCAAAACTTCAGAGTTAGTAATTCCTGCTCCTACCTTTTCTTCCACATAAATACACATTTCCAGGAAGGGACAGAGCCAGATAACATAAATCCAATAAATCTACTTGTAACAGAATAGGAACTTTGATTTCCAGTTAGATGCCAGCTGATTACATCTGTATTTTCTGAGCACTAAACTCTTCTGAACACGTAACATGAAATATATTCCCGCCACTACAAAGGGGAAGGCTGGAGTGTGCTGAGCAGTAATGGTTATTTATTTACATAATTTCTATTCCATAGACTGCAGGAGAAAATATACAACTTCCCCTTATTGACACACTGCCATATAAAAAAGTGAGGCACACACAGGATTTTCACATTAGCCCACTTTATGAGATGGAATAATAATTCACCTCTGGTAAACAGGGATTGTATTATTTCACCCATGGATTGAACCTCTCTGAACTCTATAATCTAATCCACCTGTGCATCCCTTAATTACTATTATTTTTAATCCCATTCTGAGGGGAGAGTTAATACTTCCCACCACCATCTTCAAGGCTGCAGAATAAAAACTGGGTAAAGGCATATGCCAGATCACTTCAAATAATTAAAGGTCCATAGATACTATTGCCATGAGGAAATCCTGAGTGTTTGGAGGTCTAAGTTAAATCCAAGGTATATTTTTCTAAACACACCTCCCTTCTCCCAACCTCCCCAGGCTGGTGCCCTTCTAGCCAGCAACTTCCCCATCTGCATTGCCCAGTAACCTGCAATTATAGGTGCATTTATCATAAATATCTGATAAATATTTTACTAACCTTAAGGGTATGACCTACGGGGCATAAAGAAAAAAGCCCTGCTACGGTGTCAGCATGACCCTTTCATATTGCATTGTTTGGAAATTGAATAGGATCCTAATGCATAATGGGCAGATAATGCGTGTAAAATAGCAAGATATATGTAAATATGGAGTGCGATTTGTGACAACCAACATATGAACAGGCCTGTGGTTTTGATATATATCACAAACAGGAACATTTTGCCCGAGCTCTTGATAGATCTATATTTTGCAACCTAGTGCTTTAGATGTTGCAAAATATCATTGCATTAAAGGTATGGATTAATAGAGCAGCCTGGCTGAGATAACTGTATACCTGAGGGATGCCAAGTCCACAGCTCAGGTCAAAGTTTCTCCTCCTCAGAAGTTCCTGAATTATGGCTTGTTTTATTTGTGTCTTTGCTCGAGGCCATAGTATTGTAGATGAAGGTGTTCCGAAATCTTTGTAAAGCCAGTTCTCGGCATGGGAAGACTTCAACTTCAAAAATACAGTTGCCACAGATTTTTTTTTTGTTTGTTTGTTTGTTTTTTGGGGTGGGAGAGAGAACTTTGAATAATTTGCTGTGCCTTTCCAGGGTCATAAATCTACGTTCATGATTTTGTAATGTCTTTTTGAGGGCCATTAACATGCATTAATTCACATATGGATCTATATATTAGCAAAGTCTGGCTTTGATTTGTGTTAAACCACACTGCCAGCAGGCTGCCTCCCTCTGATCCTGATATATTAGGGGGGCTTTTTGTTTGGGTGCTTTTTGTGTAATTTTAAAATATTTGTTATTAATCTCTGAATCAATGTGGATGGTTCCAACCATACGGGCATATCCACCACTTGTCCACGACAGCACATTCCTGCACAAGTCCCCCAGTAAGCAGCCTTTGCACAGTTTATCCCCGGTTTGGGGGTTCACAGAGATGGGGCACGCAGTTAACCTGTCAATGCACAAACTCAGCTACAACTCTCTGAGTGTACCTGTGCACACAAGAAGGCGCAGGGTAAGGCGTATCAGGGCAAGCGCATGGATGTGAGGAGATTTCTGCTCCCGGACTAGGATGCGTTTCTCAGGGTGATATCGTTCTGAGGGGTGCCAAGAGGCTAGTTTCTGGCCCTATACGTGCCATAGGGAGCTATCGAGAGTCTCTCAGGCCACGTTTAGGCAAGACTCACTCTTGCAGCCCACCCCAGCTTTGTCTTTGAGAGCTTGCAGCAGCCGGTTTAGCGTAAATCCGAACTAACCCACTACCCTTTTTTCGCCGGATTTATCACGCAGCCTGCAAAGTCGTGCCCAATTTGCCATGGCTGGCGGCGGGGCAGAGACGGAGGGGACCCCCTTTCTCCCTGCCCCACCTCTTCTCCCGCGGGCCGGTTCCCTGTCTGCCACTGTAGGTCCCAGCTGCTGCCTTTTCATAATGTGCAGCCATGTCAACAAACTCCCTCTGCGTGTGTGCGCCTCCGTTTTTCACCTTTATTATTGTTATTTATTATTAATAATTGTTACTATTTTCCCCAGTAACCCTCCATTTTCCCCCGCACCCGGTGTTATTTAACGGGGGCTGGTCCTGCTTCCCAGCAGCCCAGTGAAGGGTTCCCTGGGGTCGGGACCGCACTCGTCTGCGCAGAGCGTCCGTGTGTCTGTCCCTGTCCATGTGTCTGTGTGCCCGATGGGGGCGCAGAAGGGCTGAGGGGTGAGTGGTAGGGGAGCTGGGGGCTGTGTGGGCACCCCACGGCAAACCCCGTGGAGATACGCGCGGGGGCTGCGAGGCGCGGACAGGTCGTCTTGTTTATTCGGCGGCAGTGCGGTCTGATGATGGTAATGCGATGATGACGGGATGGGAATGGGATGGATGGGGGGGTGCGCCTTTGAGGGTGCCCCCCCCCATCCGGGCAGTGCTTCCCCGCGCGCTTCCCCGCCACTAACCATCTTTCCCTCCACCCCTTCCTCCTCCTTCCCATCCTCCTCCTCTCCCTCCCGCCGCCGCCGTTCTACGGCTGCCTCCGCGGGCTCGGTGCGACGGGCAGACGCCTGCGGCCTGTCGGATGCTGCGCACATCGAGAGCCTTCAGGAGAAGTCCCAGTGCGCGTTGGAGGAGTATGTGCGGAGCCAGTACCCCAACCAGCCCAGCCGCTTCGGGAAGCTGCTGCTGCGGCTGCCCTCGCTGCGCACCGTCTCCTCCTCTGTCATCGAGCAACTCTTCTTCGTCCGCTTGGTAGGTAAAACCCCCATCGAAACCCTCATCAGGGATATGCTACTGTCGGGGAGCAGCTTCAACTGGCCTTACATGTCCATCCAGTGCTCCTAGAGCCCGGCCCGCACCCCCAGGAGAAAAGCGGAGGAGCGGCAGAGGCGGGAGAGCTCGCACCGAGGGGCAGTCGGGGTGCGGGGGGGGCCCGGGAGGCGGACATCGAACAAAAGAAAGGGCCGAATAGGAGCAGAGGTGTGGCCGTGGCGGGGAAGGACGGGCCTCGCGTCCGTAGAGGTCGTGGTGTTTCGCTTTTTTATTTTTGGTCTTTTTCTTTTTTTTCGGAAAGGAGGACAAAAAAAAATAATAATAATAAAAGAGATGAAAAAAGGCAAAAAAAAATAAAAAAATAAAGTCAAAACAACAAAAAAATGAGTATTGAGGGGATATTAATCACACCTGAAGGGGATACTGGATTTTCCAGGATTTATTGTGGACTGTTGTTGATATATGCTGTACAGTAACCAACAAAACGTGTCGAAACTGAACTGAACCTTGTGTAGAATGAAGAAAAAAAAAGAGCAAAAAACAAACAAAACAATTCCACACACAAACACTTACCACGAGCATTGTTACTCATTTTGTAATATATTAGTCTTTATTTTCATTTTTTGTAAAACTTAAAACATCATATGTGCATAAAGGAAGAAAAAAAAAGAAAAAAAGAATCGAGAATTAGGGGGAAATAACATTTTCCAAATAATTATTAAAAAAAGAAAATTGTCCTGTGTCTATGTATCTATATCTGTTTTGTATTTTTTTCTGGTTCCAAACCAGGTTTCCTGTGATTCTATACTACTAATTTTTGATATAACCCTTTGCTTCTTATAATGAGTGCGATATATGTTGTCGAAGCTGTTCTTCAAGAATTAAAATTGAAGTGAGAATTTAAACAAAAATAAAAGAATTTAGGAAAAAAAAATCAACTTATCACCCCACAACCCATGAGTCTTGTTGCTTGAAATACGCCAACAGTTTACCAGGAAAAAGAAAAAAAAAAAATCTCGAAAAAGAGAGAAAAGACACAAAACACAAACCATACTCCCTGTTTTTTTTTTAAATTCCTTTACCTATGTTAAAAGGGAGAGGTTAAAAACAGCTTGTGAGGGGTCACCAAGCTGTGGAAAGCACGTGGTGTTCCAAGGCTTGGCTTGGCTGTGCAAGCATAGGGCTGAACGCTGAAGGCCTAGGCCATGGTGTGGTGCCTTACTGGGACCACATGGCCCACGGGCCCCATCCTGCTGGCCAGCCCTTTGTGGAAACACATTGTCCCATCAGCTGGGTATGCTTCTGCTGTATTCACATCTTGCTGCTTGCTGTTGGGCACCATGGGGCAATGGATTGAAGTTGCCGTATGCCTCCACTGCTGCATGTGCAGGGGGAGGCATATTTAGCCAGGACTCTCCTGTTCTTGTTGATTGCTTTCTGCTTATGGGGGGATCGGGGTGGGTGGGTCTTCTTCCTTTTTTTTTTTTTTTTTTTTTTTGCTTCTTTCCTCTTCTTTTCCACCACAGGGACCCACAGACCCTGGTGGTGTGTGCTCCGGTGTGCATGCCTTGCACTTGCTGCCAGCTGAAACATCCCTCTCGCTCTTTCTCCTGACTCTAGTTGCTGTGCACGAAGGGTATTCCCAGCACATTAATATAGAAATCCAACTGGATGCTTGCTCATTGGGTGGTGAGCTAGCACATTCCATGTGCCACAGCCACACGTAAAACATAGGCTGCAGCCCCCCATGTCACAGGCACCCACCACAGGGGTCCCAGCTCAGAACCCAAAGCCCTGCTTCCTTTTGGCTCATCTTTTTTTTTGGAAAAAAAAACCTAAAAATCTTTTCTCTAATAGACCCCTTTGAAGGTAAAGGCTTCACAATGCTTCTAGCTGGTGGTACGAATCTCCGTAACAGCTTTCAGTGCATTAATGTTTTATAGGATCTGAGACAGAGCTGTAAGAACACATACTATCAAGGGAGCTCTTTCTTAACATATTAATAAAGCTGGATCTTTAAAAATAACATTCTACCCCTCATGCAGGCACTTCCCGTGCCCCCCAAACAAGCCTGGATGAGGTAGGCTTTTCAGTTTGTGGAGTCATGGGCAATGTTTTCCTTTTAATTTGCTGTCCTCCATACTCTCCTTCTCTCTCTCTCCCCATCTCTCTCCGTTTTTGGTTGTTTTTTTTTTTTCTTTTCTTTGCATTAACAAGATACTTCAATCCAACTCGCTTGGGGTTTTTAATATTCTAGGCGCAGCAGATCCGAGGCGAGAACAGTTCTATACAGTAGGCACTTATAGCTGGATAATCAACACTGTGGGCAGATCCTCTATGGGGGCAGAGCCCATTTCTGGACGGAGAAGCAGCTTGTATTCATGGGTGCTGGGGTGGGGTAAGGGTGCACAGATGATTCCAAGACCTGGGCACAGAAGGAGGAGAATTAGACAGGCGGGCACACAGACAGACAGACACCCACCTTTTTCCCCCTCGCATGGACGCTGCATAGGCGACAGCTTTGTTCCTCACCCAGTTCGTCTTCTCCAGGCAGAAGGGTTCCAGCAGCCCTTCCATGCTGCCAGGAAGAGCAAGCAGGGATTTTCAGCCCCGGAAGGTGCTTGGAAGAAGCTCTTCAATATTGCTTTTTTTGGTGGGATAGGTGACTGGGGACCCAGCTGAGTTAGCAGTTAAAGCTAACAGACAGATCAAACAACAAAACCCGCAACAAAATAAATAATTAAAAAAATCAAAGAAACAGAAAAAAAAACCACAACAAAAATAATAAACAAAGTAAATGGGGATATTGGCAGAGAAAGACAGGTCTTGGTTTCTTCCAATGAGATGTAAATATATTCATTACAGTGTTATCCTACTGATGAAAACAGACAAACTTTTTCTTAGGTCAGAAACGTATTTTTCAATTAATTTTCATATTTATGAGTAATAATAACCCATCGATTGCCAAGAAACTTGCAGGTGTAGAAGAGGTGTACGAGGTGCACTTCCGTGTATGTGCCTAGAAAGAAGTGTTTCAATCCCTTATTAAACTCTGCTTACAAGACGCGTTCTGAAGTGTTAACTACCCAGTCTGCAGTTGTGTTGGTGGATATTTTGCTTTGCCATGCTCCAGCCTCTCGGGCTTTCATACAGCGGCTAAAAATATTGGTATAATCGGGTCACCGAATGCTATTTGATCAAAACAAACCGAAACAAGCAAACAAAAAAAGAAAATAAAAAATAATCTGTGAATGTGGGGAGGGGCCGGGGTCCCTCCCCAGGTTTCTGCTAACTTGTTCGTTACAATATATTGTTTCAAAAGCAGCTCCAGCTACATCTCTTCTGCCTTGTTGTCACCGGGGGGCTCCTGGCCCCTCCCAAGTCCCTCAGGGCGGGCTCTGTAGGGCATCTCCTTCCATTCCTGAATCCCTGCATCCCTCCTGCTTCAGGGCTTCGCTGCCGCTCCGTGCCCACCAACCGCTGCTTGCAGCTCCAAGGTGGGGGGTGGGTGGGGGGTGGGAGGGGGGGAGAAGGAGGATTTGGGGAGAGGATTTGGGGAAGGGGGCGACCCTCTTATCTCAGCCCCGCGCAGGGGGCCCGCTCAGGGCACTGCAGATACAAAAGCCCCCACACCTCTTAGCTCCTCGCTAACTAGCTTGCCTCCTCCCACCGCCCAATTAGGCCTTTTCTATATATTCAATTGAATAAATATTTGGAAATGCTGCTAAGTGGTAGGTTGAACCCGTGCTGAGGAGGTGGGGGGGGGTGTTGCAGGCAGTGGCGGCGGCAGGGGCAGAGCAGGGGCTGGGGTCGCGCCCCCTCCACCCCTCCACCCTGCCATCCGGCTTCCCGGAGAGGAGAAGGGGCTGCGGAGCCCTTTTCCTGGGACTTCTCTACAACACCACACCCCCGCGGCGGGGGAAGGGGGGGGGGGGGGGGGCGGCACCGTTTGGGCAGCTTAACCTCCATTCACCCCTCAAACTCACAAGGAGTGTGATGAGCCCACTCCTAGAGAGGACGGGGGGGAAATGGGTGCCCAGACTTTCCCCAGACCCCTCTAAACCAGGCAGAACTGGGGGCCGTGGGATGCCATTAGGAGTGGCCTTTCCCATCTACACCCCTGGAAACGCCTAGGCGCAAAAGACCCTTTCCCTGAGAGTACGGGGCGGGGGGAGTCTCTTTTGTGGAAAGCTCTGGGGTCATGGCCAGTGGCAGCAGGAGTAACACAAGAAAAAGTGAATTTTGCCTTGCTTTAAGCCCAGGAAACTGTTTGTGTCCCCACACAAAGAGAAAATCGTATTTGTATCCGAAGGAATAGGATTAATAGATCCTCTGGTTTTATTTTATTTATTTTTTGTGTTTGTTTACGTGTTTTGTTTTTTTTTTTTATTTAAAGTACCTGTGGGGTATATTAGCGAGGCATCCCCTTCCCAACAGGCAGCAGACATGACCCGCTGCCGAGGGACGCGCAGGCAGCTCAGGCAGCGCAGGCAGTGACAGTGGCCTGGAAGGACCCTACTAGGGACGGACAGAGGGACAGAGAGTGGGAGGAGGGCCAAGGGCTTGCTGCAGCCGCCCCACCAGCAGCGTCCACGCACGGAGCTGCTCGCAGGCAATGTGCACTGTTGCTACAGGCAAACCAAAGTGCTTCCTCTGGTTTCATGGGGCGTTTTGACTATTCAAAGCGTTGGTTTTGAAGTCTTGAAATAGCGAGTTTGGGGATTTTGGGGTTTTCCCCTTACTCCCCTCCTCCGTATCTTTACCCTGCCTTTTTCACTGAGAGAAGCAGGAATCGGTTCCCTCGCCTTTCCCCACTTTTCTTCCTCTTTCTTTACATCTTGGGCTAATTTCAGAAACAGCGTGACCTCCTCAAAAACTGTCTATACATTTGTTTTAAAAGGCTCCCTTTCTAATGGGCTTCACAGTCACTGACTTTGACGTGATATTGTTGGAGTTTGGGGTTTTAATCCCTAGTGGGTCAGATTGGCTGAGGATGAATGTCCTGCAGTGATTCAGGAGCGTAGCAAGAGTGACAAATAGATACATTTCCAAGCCACAGCTCTCGACTGCCATGAGCAGACCCCTGGTCCTGTTTGCAAACCTGCCAGGTTTCCCGGCACTGATGAGGTGGAGAATCCCTCCTATGAGAGAGCGTTTCCGAGAGAAAACAAGAATAAAATTAAAGAAAGAAAAGAACAAAAAAAAAAAAAAGAGGAAGATAGTGGAAGAGAGTGGGAAAGAGGGAAAGGAGAAGAGAAATAAAAAAAGTAAAAAAAAAAATTAAAAGAAACAAAAAAGAAAAAAAACAAACACCAAATCCAGAGGGGTGAGGAATGAGGTGAGTGAGGGGGGAGATGCGAGAGCACAAGTGGAAACTAATAAAACTCTTGTTAAAGTGCTTGATCAGGAACCATGGCGTCACCAGGTCTTTTACTTAGGAAGCCAAGGAGTTTTATTCCTAAATGAGTTAAAGAGCCATTTACCTCTGTCGTGTTCTATTCATCAAGCCACAAGTCGAGAGTCCCTAACATGAAACTATTTGTTTGCTTACACAACCAGCTGGGCGCAATTTCACGTCTGAGATATCTATCTGAAAGCGCCTCTCATTTATTATCCTTACTTGTCAGCGAATCTATTTTCCAACTTTTTTTTTTTTCTTCTTTTCTCTCTCTCCCCCCCCCCCCCCGCCCCCTTCCTCCTTCTTTCATGGAAGGCTGTGAGTTTAAATGCTCCCTTAAATATTTCAGCTCCTACCCCTTCTACCCTCTGATCACCTTCAGCACAAAATAGCTGGGAAATAAGCCTGAAACTGCAGGGGTGGGTAAATCGACGACCTTGCAAGGCAACCCCTTCATTACAGCTCCTGCCCACCTCTCCCTGTCTCCCAAAGCCTGTGTGACAATGTTTTGGGGTTCCCCCCTCCCGTCCCCCTTAGATTTAAGTGAGGGCATCT